TTATCTTTTCAAAAAGTTTACTTATTGAAGAAAGCAAACTTATTGGACGGTAGCTAGAAGCTTCAGCTGGATTTTTATCCGGCTTCAAAATTGGAACAACTTTTGCATTTTTCCATTTATCAGGAAAGTATGCCAAATGGAAACATCTGTTAAATAATTTTACCAAGAAAAGCAAGATACTCTCTGGGAGTTTTTTGATAAGGATATAGAAAATTCCATCAACACCTGGAGCTTTCATATTTTGAAAATTTTTAGTTATAGACCTTACTTCGTCCAAATCAGTCCCCCAGGAATCATCAAAAATATTTTCCCGAGAGAAAATATTCAGAAAATCCCGAGCAACCTGATTCTCAATAGGACTAGTAAGACCCAAACTGAAATTATGGGAACTCTCGAATTGCTTAGCAAGTTTCTGAGCTTTTTCCAAATTTGTGATCAAAATTTTACCACCTTCTTTAAGCGCTGGAATAGGCTTTTGAGGTTTTTTCAAAATTTTTGTGAGTTTCCAAAAGGGTTTGGAACTCGGGTCTAATTTAGAAATATTATTTTCAAAAGTTTTGTTCCTCAGGGCAGAGAATCGCTTTTTAATTTGTTTTTGCAAATCCCGCCAGATAACTTTCATGGCAGGATCGCGTGTTCTTTGATATTGTCTCCTACGGACATTTTTAAGACGGATCAAGAGCTGAAGATCATCGTCTATTATAATTGAATCGAATTTAACCTCGCATTTTGGTACTGAGGCAGCTCTTGCTTCAACTATAGAAGTAGTCAGAGATTCAAGAGCATAATTAATTTCATCTTTGGTTTGCAAAGGAATGTTTGGATCGAAGTTATATTCCATAAATGTTCGATACTGCTCCCAATCAGCTCTATGGTAATTGAAAGTAGAGCTGTTGGGATTACAAATTATTTCTTGGGATATTTCAAAAGTTACTGGAAGGTGATCAGAACCGAAATCAGCATGGGTAACCAATTGGCTACAAAGTTGACATGAATCAGTTAAGACCAAATCAATAGTGGAGGGATTTCTTGCAGAAGAAAAGCATGTTGGGCTGTTTGGATATTGAATAGTGTAATAACCTGCAGAACAATCATCAAACAGAATATTACCATTGGAATTGCTTTGAGCATTATTCCATGAGCGGTGTTTTGCATTAAAATCACCAATAATGAAGAATTTAGACCTATGACGGGTAAGTTTCTGGAGGTCACCCTTGAGAAAATTCTTTTGCTGGCCTACGCATTGGAATGGCAAATAGGCAGCTATAAACGTAAGTTGTCCAAATTTTGTTTCAACAGAAACTCCCAAAGTTTCAAAAACTTTGGTTTCAAATGAAGAAAGAATTTTATGTTTGATTAGTCTATGGATAATGATGGCAACGCCACCACAGGGTCCATCAAGACGATCATTTCTATAAATCAAGTAATTTGCGTCCTTCTTAACCTTATGGTCAGGTTTAAGGAACGTTTCAGTTATAACGGCAATATGCACGTTATGAACTCGCAAAAAGTTAAATAGCTCATCTTCATTATCTTTAAGAGATCGAGCATTCCAATTTACAATATTTAATGCTTTAAGATCCATTACTGAATTTTAAAGTCATGACAATATTATTTGCAAATTTTACTCCAGTTTGAATAGCATCAAACATGGAGTTAGATTTAAGCATATCAGAAATCATGTCAATTAATGATTTCTGTAAAAATTCCATTTTAGGGGCAGTAATGCTTCCTAAGTCAAAATTGTCAAAATTTCCGTTAGAACGGTGGTTAGTATTTTGATTTCTACCCACTGCAATAGCAGCATAGGTAGCTCCATTAACTTGCTGAACATTGTTAGCAGCGAGGGGAGTAGGTACAGATGAAACATTTGAAGCAGGGGAGATATTTGTACCTACGGGTACGAATGTAGAATTTGTTCCTCGCTGACCGTTGTTAACAGCAGAGGAATTTGTACCTGGTCGGAAACGTGGAGCGTTTCCTACCTGACGGTTAGAACGAGATTGTAGGATCGCTTTGCGAGTCTTACATTCCCAAAAATTGGATTTGTGGTTTTCACCACAATTTGAACATTTAAATTTCTTAGGATCTTCCTTCACAGGACAGTCGTCCTTTGCGTGAGAGGAATCACCACAATTCATGCATTTAGCTGGCATGTAGCAATTTTTAGTTCCGTGACCCCATCCCTGGCACTTACGGCACTGGGTGAGGTTTTGGAAATTTCCTCCAGTCTTCCTGAAGTGTTCCCACTTCACTCGGACATGGAGCATAAGGCTAGCTTTTTCTAAGGCCTTAAGGTTGTTTAGTTCACTAGACTTGAAGTGAACTAAATAAAAATCATTAGAAATCCCGTTGCGCGAATCGCCAGGACGGGATTTCATTTTCATTTTGATTACTTGGAGTGGCACAACTCCAAGTAATTTTGCCAGTTCATCTTTGATCTGATCCAGGGATTCACCACTGGGCAGTCCTTTCATGACAACCTTGAACAAACGTTCAGTTTTGGTGTCGTAAGTAAAAAATTTGTGCTTCTTCTCAGTAAGATACTTGAGAAGACATTTAAATCCGTCCAAGGTTTCAGCCAATACACGGCATTCACCCCGACGTCCAATTTGTAGTGAAAACTTAACTTTCACGAAATTCAAAAGTTCCATGCGAAGAGCATGGAAATCGGTAGTGGTTATCACAATAGGGGGAATCTTTTCCTTCTTGGCATTAAGCCGGGAAAGTTTACTAGAATTTTTCTTGGATGATGGATCATTCTCATCATCCGTGAGCAAATCAAATTGATTACTCAAATTAATTTCATCAGAAGGGGGGTCAAGAGTTTGCCCCTTTCTTTTGCGTTTAGGCGCCATGGCGGCAGTAAATTTTTATCCAAATCGACTTCCAAGCAGATTACTATAAGAATCTGAAGGATCGAAGAGGAATTTTCCAAATCGATATCCAAGAAGGATTACCTCGGGTAGGGTCCAAACAAGGATCGAAGAGGAATAAGAGTTGAACAAGGTAGAAAATTTTTACAGGTTGAGCACTGAAAAGTGCTGTTTAAATTTGTTGCAGCTTTAGGTAGTAGTAACACTTCCTTCAGCAAAAAGCAAATAGATCCGCACGGCAAGAGAGCACGATGCGGACTGATTGTTGTACGTTTTGTACACCTTTTGCCAGGAACATCTCTACTGTTGTAAACAGACTTCTTCAATATTTCTTCTGCAGTCAGCACAATTTAGTCACCGTTCAGAGGAGATTCGTCCCTACAGAGAAACGTACTGCGAACGTGCCGATTTGTTTTGAACTCCATGTACCTATCAACCGGTTTACACCAACGGAAAACTCAACAATTTCACCGATCACATTCCAAACCAGAGCTTCTAGGCATATGGCTAACCCTCGTTAGAGGTAACCCGTTACGAATCAAATTAGATGGACTGAGTATTGTTAGTTTGATTGGATTTATGGTGCAGAAAATACTTACAGATTTTCGAAATGTGACGAAATGTTGGCGTTGACGGCGACTCTGTAGCTCATTACTCCTACGGTAAAATCCATAAGCAAACGTCAGACTGTGCGTGAAACATGGCGGACTTCGTACTATCCTTTCACTCCACCGAAAAATCCCATTAGAAACTGTCGATCTTTTCTAGAAGAGACGATTTTTCGACGGTGCCGTCAACGCCAATTGGAGTAAACAAAGGATTCATTCTTAGCAACGATTATCAAAACGTCAACGATCGACAGTGATGCCACATTTGGGATATGTTTTGTATTCTACTTGTCAACGTATGCCCTAACGTGCCGAACAGTGTGCCATGCTGTGTTTCAGCACAGTGCAGAGTTGATTACCCCTTGGTACCCCCTTAAAAACGATTTTTTACCATAACTTTTTTGTTTGAATTTTCTATTTTTTTTAATGTTCTACAAAGTTGTAAGTGCTCTAAAAATGCACATTTTTATGTAAGTGTATCTTACAGGATAGCAGGTATTAGCAGCTTATCTCAACGTTATTTCTTTTCAGCAATTTATACCGTACTGGTACACATACAACTCATAGGAGGATCCAAGGGGATGCATTTTTTAGTAAAGTACCTCAATGTTTTGTAAGGTTTTACAGATAGCATTAACAATTATAAAAACGGACGTAAATTCTCAAAACGAAGAGATAGCAATTTATTTCTTTCAGCAAAAATATGCATTTTTAGAGTCATTACAACTTTGTAGAACATTGAAAAAAATGTACAATTCAAAAAACGGTATTTAAGGAGGTACTACCGATTGTACCCGATTTTCACCATATAACTTCATCCACTTGAGAGATAGAAAATTGTCGTGTTGAACAAAGTTTCTTAAAATGACTTCATCTACAATGTTTGCATACATTTTCATCGATTATAACAAGACCTGAAAAAAAATTGTTTTTATCTGAGTGTATACCCACCTTAAGCAAAAATTTACACCACTCAAATAAAGTACTCAAACATTGAAGAAACATTCAAGATGACATTAAAATGCTGCACTGAATAGTTTCGTCGCAAATGGCCATGCCCCACCTTTTTTTTAAATTTCGTCTCACTGTGTGGCGTCTTTGGATTTTTTCCAAAAAGTTGTAGCCCAAAAACGGCACTTCTAATCGAAATGAAGCCAAAGTTGTGGAGAAATATGATATTTTTCTGAGAAAAATATAAAATATACGAATCTTTTTAAACAACATTCAAGTCACACTTTATGCACAGCGCCCTCTCACCCTCCAGCCACGTTAGCTTTTCAATGCCAATTATTTCGTCACCGTTAAGTACCCTTTCCCATGCTACACACGATGACGATGATGATGATGATGATTAAGATAGACATGCCACGCTACCAGTGGCGCTCACATGCAAACTTTGTATCTACCAGCAAAACATATCATCTATATGTCTCTATCCCCCACTGCTGCCTTGGCCGCCACCAACAACAACAACAACGATGGGAACCGTGTACACCGCCAACCAATCAATCCACAGACCATCCGATAAAACCCAAGAGGCCCGGCGAGTGCTGTTGAGCGATATCAATTTCACCAGCATGGTACCGGAGCTATCGCGCTCGGCGGACCACCTCTGCCAGCACCCGGAGCAGGACGAACCGGACGAGAACAGTGAAAATCGCTCACCTAACTACTGCAAGGGCAATCTGCTCAAGACTCCGGATCCGGTTAAGGGGTAGCCTATCTTAGACGTTGTTTCAAGCTCTGTTTTTGTGACTTTTGTTCGCGACATAAACTGATTCTGAATTTATTTCTTACCTTCTAGGATTCCACCGAGTTACAGCATGACTTCACCAGGGGTTTCCCAGTGGACGGTGAACGAAAGCAGCATCGCCACGCAGACTACCCAAACCGACGCATATTGGGCCGATCGAGGTGACTCGTTCGATTCGTCTAAAAGCTACTCGCTCGGATCACGGTACAGCACTCTGAGCAAACATCATCGCTCTCGGAGTGTACCGTCGATCCGGTGCGCCATCTGCAGGCAAAGTCACCAGTCGTCTACACTACGGCCTTCGGAGAGCATGCACTACACTCCAAGGGTCACTTTCCAAGAACCGACGCACAAGATACGGGGATCGCTACCGGATCTGAGGCACGACTGCAACTGCCCGCGAAGGTATGGTGGTCCCTCCCTGTACAGGATTCATGGCGATTCCGGTGGTTCAACGGATAGTCTACTGGAGGAGGCCGAGGACTTCTTGCGAAGGTCCATCGAAGGTAACATCATGCTGGAAGATCCCGGAGGTCACTGTGAGCCTCCGCTTAATCCTCCACCGTTATCTATTGTCGGAACGACCAAGCACCGAAGGTGCTCCGAGAATGACATCCAACGTGGTATGTTTAGGATATTCTCCTCTACTATACTAACAAATTTTGACGGCATTTTCTAAATTTCACAGATTACATCCCCTCGAAACAGGCACTGCCATTCCTGCCAAAGACCGCCAAATGTCTCAAGCCGGGACATCTAGCGAAGGTGATAGCCCGCAACGGACGGGTCATAGTCGGCAGGGTGCGCTATATTGGCCCGCTGGCGGGCTGTAGCAGTGCCTCCGGTGAACCGGATGAAACCTACGTAGGCCTACAGCTTCCCAACAACCTGGGTGATTGTGATGGATCGATTGATGGAAGAAAGTTCTTTGACTGGTAAGTTTGATTTTATTTAACATTCGAGATTTTTTTACAATTTATCCTGAAGTTCCGAACAAGGATCTGCCAAATACAGAGAACCATCATCACCGATGATCTGCTTCGCAACAGACTTCCCAAGGCATTGCAATCCTAGAACGGGACTTTGCGAAACGACCTTTTCCTCTGGTCTGACGCTGGTAAAGTCCCCCCCGCAGTAGCGACTTCGAAGAGTGAAGATCTCCTTTGCTTTTGATGGTGGCACAAATTGGACTGGTTTTGGTATCAGCTGCCAGTTCCCTTCCAAGGAGGCATCCAATCCACAGGTCAAACAGTTCCCACTTCCCTTTTCGTTTAGAATAATTCCTGCCGCCGTCGGTGGCTTTGTTTTTGCGTTCAATTCCATTTGTTTGAACCGAAGCATGATTTTGGACTGCTGCCGTCGGAGGCTCTCCATGTCGATTAACTCAGCCTTGGTTTGCAATCCCTTTGCCAATTCGTAGGTCTTCACTTTAAGATTTTGTTCCTGTTTGTAGATTTCCTCGTACAACCTTGCTATATTGCTGCTCAGTTCCAACTGACCTACACTGTAGCACTCGTAAGGGACGTATTTCTTCAGATCTTCGACCATCGCCTTGAGGGCAAGCTCCCCCTCCATTACATGCTTATCAGCCTTTACCACCGCTAAGTGATTGATCTGCTCCGTAACCGTCTGGACAGCCGTCACAAATTGCTGCCGATCCTTCTCGATACACCGAATTTGGCACTTCACTTCCCGAATTTCGACCGCCATCAAATCCATCTGCCGATGGATCTCCTGAATCTTGATGTCGTTATCTAGCAAGGCCAACCCCAAACACTCCATCTCATCCATCAGCTTGGCAACCTTTTTCTCCTCCTCGCACAATCTCGTATCCAGCAGGTCAATCTGCTTCAACATCTTCGCCATCGTTTCCAGATCTTCGGCCCGCTTCGCCCTCAAATCTGCCAACCCGACTTCCAACGCTTGCAGCCGAACCATGTACGCTTTGAGGAGACTTAGCACCTGACTGACATCCTCCGCTCGCCTTCGAGCGATTTCGGCTGCTCGCACTTCCGGATCCAACGCCATCAGACTGGGGCTGAGTAACCCCTCGGTGGCGAAGGATCCTTCGCCGAACGGTTTATCCTCTAGGGCATGAGTGCTGTCGGCTTGACCCAAGTCCACCATAACGTCCAAATCTTTCAGGCCCAACTTCGTGAGCAGTGCTCGTAGCACTTCGAACAGCAGTCGGATGTTAACCACTCCCGTTTCCGGAATTTCGAATGCAATGTCCAACAGTTGACCCAGCTTGACTCGGCGACGGTCGGCCATGTTTGATTGAGCGAGTGGTTTGTTGTTGGCAGAGTAGAAGCATGAGCAAAGCCTGCTATGGATTGTCTAACTTTAAAAACTTTTTTAATGGAGCAACCAGCAAATTTAAGGTCACGTTTCACGCTCTAATTTTGGCACTCAACACCCATTGTCAATGAACGGCTGCGAAAAGCGGATTTCGTCCCTCCAATCCGCATTTCAATTGCTAAGGTGAAGACAATTAGCATATCGTTGGTTGGTATCTAAATTTATATTTGCACTTCAAAGCAAGGTTGCAAAGACTCATTTCAGCTAAAACAATGTTTTTCTAAATTATGAAATAATTAGATGCCATGATCAAATTTTGAATTGGTAGGATACAAGAAGAGGTTGCAAAGAATGTGTTTGACATATTAAACCTGTTTATTTCACTTCATGAGAGTCACAATCAGCGATTTTTCACAAACTCACTCACTCACTCACTCACTCACTCAGCGATCAGCAAATCGCTGATTGTGACTCATAGAAAGCAAAATTTACAGGTTTTATGTTTCCAACGCATACTTTGTAACCTCTTCTTGTAAGTTACAAGTAAAACATGCCATCATACCATCTTTTGGTTTTATTATTCCGAAAAACATTATTTTAGCTGAAATGAGTCTTTGCAACCTTGCTTCAAAGGAAAACCGTGCAATGGATACCGACTCCACACATTCAGCAGGTAGGGGAAACGGATCTAATTTTGGCCTAAGGATCTAAAGGTTGGGCCGATCAACAAAAATCTTCGGTTTTTCAATTTGTCCTCTAGCAATGTGTCATCTGAGTAATACAAATGAAAATTTGTTGATGCTAGTGAACAATCGGTAAAAAAATGCTTTCCATCGAAATTTATGTATGGGTCCAATATTAGGGACATTAACCCTATCTGATTCACGATACGCGTTCTGCCTCCACTGCTGCCATAACAACAGCAGCAGAAAACTGCGCTGGAGGCGACTTCGGTATACGGTAATGCAATTAATTTGTCGGTTCTACAGATATGCGATGAAGGTTGGGAGGCTTTTTAATAATGGAAAAAGCAAATATGAGCTCACGAATTTCTAGCAACTCTGATTGAAAGCTTTTTCAGGTAATTTAACCAAAATATTTGTTTTACCTGCGGTCAAGTATAGGATAGATGTGCTAGTAATTGTTATACGTTCCTTTTATGATATCTGAGAACCCCATACGACCTAATAGGATTTCAACATAATAGGAACGTTTGGCTATGATCGGTGCACCTACCCAACATTATTTTAACAATAAAGTTCACTTTTCGCTTTACCATATACAGAAAACAGCGGACAGGAACATGCTGCTTATTGTCATAAAAGGTGAAAATAAAGGGATATCCGATTACTTCTCAATTAATCGAACTGATCGATAGTAATTGAACATAAAATATATTCTCGATAATCCGATGATCTTTAGATTATTTTGCAATTATCATTTGAAATTGATGCTCCATCACAATTATGACCGTATTGAATTTATAGCAGTGTATCTGAAAGAATAAAATGTCTAATCTACTCAGCACTTTCGAAAAATCTTTACGTATAACTTTACAAAAATTGGTCACCAAAACAAATTGTCGTAGATGTTTATCCGATTTAGATTCGAAAGTGAAAAGATGAGCCCATTTTATGATTATTCTACCAAAGACAAGGGGGGAGACAGCTTTACTCTGAGTTCCTTTTTTCGGCGAGTAGCTCGTGAGTAGCTCAATGGACGAGTGCACCGATGGATTTGAGCTCACTCACTCGAGACAAAGTTACACAAGCTGCGGGCAATGTTCATTATTTATTATTCATGAACATTTAGGGCTCATGATTAGTAAACACTCGTCCATGGAGATTTCAATTATTGACAGACCATTATCAAATTACCTTTGGAACACCTGTACACAGCAAGATAACAACTTCCGCAAATAATTTTTTGATAAATCTCATTATTTTCACTGTAATCTGGTAAAAAGTTGGCAACGATCACTGACTTCAGGGTTTGATGAATGGATTTCGGCTGTTTTACGCTTTTAAAGCACAAAATGCACACTTTTCCATGGTTTTCCTCGTGGCCACGCATTATTGTTTTTACTGTTCAATTGAAGCATACGCTTATATTGATGATACAAAATCTGATATCTTCAATGGTTAAGCAATTGGCTATGTTGTGTGAGTGACATCACTATACGATCCAAGCGATATCTCAACTACATACGCAGGGCTCCGTATGCTGCCCATGCAAATAGTGTCGTCACTATTTGTTATTAAAATACTTTTAGGACAATCTGCATCTTTCAATACATCATTGCATGACAACAACAATGATATAAATAGCAGTAGGTCAAGGGGTAAGTCACTCAGCACATTATGCCGAAAATAGATTCGACACTACTAGGGCACATCCATCGGCAGTCCTTCGGCACAATCTCGTAGGCATTGGATTGTTGCAAATAAAATGGGAGCACTGCTGGACAACTATCATTGAAGTTGTTCACAACATTACGTGCTGTTTGACTATATGTTCAGGAACATCCTTAGTTGTATATACCAGAGGAACTCAGACCAGCAGTTCACTTATAGATCTAAATACGAAATATAGATTCTAGACCGACCTCAAGAGGACTTGATCAGACCCCATTAGTAAACTTAATTCAAATAATGCTGCAACTCACACTAAACAAACTAAAGAAGTCATATTCATCATCCTCTATAGTCAGTCTCCAACAATGTTCGCCACCGGTTTCGACGGCTGATAGACCGTTGTTTTTCACATCACGAAAGGCTAGGCTTCTGGTCTACTCTTGAGGGCATTATGGGGACACAGGACTTTTATTATCTTACAAAACACCAAAATTTCGTACACCCACACCCCACCCAACTGTGTAATACAAATAAGTCAGTTTGGCCAGACCTTGTATGATTGACATCGCGCATTACTTTGACAATTTACAATCCACAGACAAAACAGACGTAACACTCCATTGTGTATCTTCGTTCATGCATTTAACGGTTGATTTGAATATTATCAGTTCCGCGAACTACTCGCCGCAGCGCTGGCATCGGATCACTTTGACGTTTCTACACATTCTATAGAACTGCAATATTGCTGCGAGCTAGCGAGCAAGTTTGTTTTCCGGTCATATGTTTTGAGATACTATGTTTTCAAGAAAAACTTTTTCAAAGAGTTACGTCTGTTTGTCTGTGCTATATCTCTTTACTCTTTGGTAAAATCGCATCCGCAATCGTCAGTCTGTGCGTGAAACCTGGTGGACATTTCCTTACCTTTTCACTCCTATGAAAATCGCATAAGATACTAGAGTGAAGAGATAAGACAAAGTCCGCTAGATTTCATGCACATATTTTCAGATGCTTATGGGATTTTACCAAGGAGTAAAGAGTTGCAGGGTCGTCGTCAACGTCAATGCTTACTGAGCATGCAACCATATATCTGCCTTTCTTTCATAAGAGCTAATGTCGCAAACGTAAACTTTTTCTGCGAATTTCCCGAGAATTAAAAACCACTCAAGTCAACTAAACGTAAACTGTGTAGAGGGAGACTCCCCTTATCCGATGGAATTGGTGGCTTACATGGAATGACTTTGAACTACAAGAAATATACCACTTCCCGCGTCATCCTCAATCCG